GCTGAGGCTGGCACAGCACAGTCCAGAAGCACCTTTCTCTCTGCCACCCAACTCTCACCACTCATTGACCAGGGCTGGGAACGCATCCTTAGAGGTTGGCTGCCTTCACTACCTCCCCCAGGGCAAATCTCACTGCATGTCCAGAACAGGGCTGACACTTGCGCTCCACGATCTGAAACTTCACAACCAGGGAGTTTTCACCTTTCTGTAGAGCTTCACTGAAATCCTTCATCAGAGTGGAAGTGGTGCAAAAATTAGCTGCGCCATAAAGAATGAAGAATTTAAAAATATTTTCAATGTGCAGATGCCTTGTCAAAAGCACAATGAAGAGACCCCCTGAATACATTACAGAAATGAAAAAAAAAATGTTCGCTCATTTCTAAATTTCCTGGAGATTGCTTAATGTCAGCAGTCCCGTTTAATAACAGAAATGTAAAACCCTGTGACAGCTATTGAACCCCTGATAGGCAGTTACCAGCTTCACCAGGACTGGTTTTGAAATCATTCAGTCCATTAGCCTGCAGCTTGTTCCAGTCAGTGCAACTGATGCAATACTACGAATCTCTTTTTCCACTGTACGTCTTTTAACTCTCTCGTGCCAGCAATTATTTGACTTACAAGAATATAAACCAGGCCTGCTCTGTTTCTCAGGGACCATTTGAGGAGCAAGGTTGTGTCTAGTTTTTGTCTGAACTAGTAAATATTTAGGAGAACAAGAAGACGGTTTTTATCTGAAACGTTTTCACATCCTTGAAACAGTGAGGCGGCAAGAAAGGGACTGAAAGACAGCCTGCCATTTCCTCTCCTCCCTGTGTCTTGGACTGCTTGTGACCCAGCGTGTGCACGCAGGCACACTCACTCGTTTGGTCTGCTCCTTTACACTGTGACTTCATTGTCAAATTCAATTCATCTGTTCAAAGCAATGACTGAAACACTGTCTATAAAATTATGGCATTTTTCCACTTTAAAAAAAAAAATTTAACACTTCTTCATTTAGAAGTTATTTTTAAACATAGTTGGCCTGAAGCCAATTTTAGTCATAACTGAATTGGATTCTTCTTTTCCTAGAATTCAATGCCTTCCTTTTCTTAAATACATTAGTTCTGGAAAAAAAAAAAAAAAAGGAAATAAAACCAGTAAATGCACAGCTTACACTTCTGTCTACGCCGTTCTACCCTCGGATATATCAGCACAGTTTGCTTTTCAACTTACTGCTATGCAACAAACCCAAACGGGTCTTTACTTTTTCTAGTTTAGGAACTGAACTCAAACCCGGACTTCCGCAGTTCCCGAGCAGAACCACTTACTTTCAGTTTGAATCTGGCTGGGGCACTCGCAGAGCATCACCACAGCCAGCAACTGGCTGAGTCAGGGTTTATGTCTGGGAGGCGACTGAAGACCCTTCCGAAACATGGCTGAATTTGAAAAAAGCAAGCATCAGAGCCTTATGACAATGCAAAGCTACGCGTGGCTTCTGGCACTGTATCTGCGTTTACATGCCGACAGCCAAGCATGAAATGGATGAACTGAGAGCGCTATTGTCACATACGCAGGTGGAGTGAGTATCCTGATGTCACCAAGTTCCCATTTTCCAGGATTGTCTCAAGAGACAGTAGGACATCTGCTCTTCTTAATGAAGTAGCTGATCAGGAAGTTTAGTAAAACTATCCCCTCAGAAAAAAAACCCAAACCAAAACAAAAAAAACCCAGACTTGAATCTAAGCAATTAATATGTCACCAAGAAGTATTTTAAGGAATAACATGCAAACTGACCTGGCAGGGAAAGTATTTTCCTTCTCCTTTCAAAGTGAATTCTGTTCTTCACAAGAGAAAACACAAACTAAATTACACCACCTGACTTTATATACAGTGAATGTTCACATGCGCAGTATTATCCACAGCGACAACTCCATTAACTGAGATGCAAATTTATTATTTATATACTTAGTTCTACATGCTTTGTAAAGGGTATCAGCAAGCACAGTAACGCAAAATAATTAGAAGATAAGAACTTTCTAGTCACTTTATCCACAAAAAGAAATTTAATCAGATTTGTATTTCCCAAGTTGAATTTTCACAGGTGTGACCTCAGCATTAAAGTGTTTGATCCTTCAGATTAAGCAGAAATGACTGGCTAACTCAGGGTTTAAGGATGACAAAGGAAAGGTGAATTATTTTTATATTAAAGTGTCACTTCAGGTTTTTGGGGGGTTAGTTGTTGTTGTTATATGCTTGACCACTGAGGGATTTGGAATCCAAATTTCATAGGGACACAGCATCTGTCTAATCTTTTAACCTAACAATGTTAGGAGCATACTGAAGATGGACTTCATGAGACTGTGACAGGTTTTGCTGTTGTTTTCAAACAGCAGGCTCTGGAGGGGAAGGCGCACAGGGGAGGAAGCAAATTCACAATGGTGGATTAAGACACTCAGAAGCGTTCAGCTCCTCTGTCTTCGGTATCTGGACTGAAGCTACAACGCTCTGCGCAATGCCCCACTCTTCCTCTGCGCAAGGCTGCAGAGCGGAGTTCAGTTTTAATATTAGTGAGATGGGGCTTGCCAACATGCGCTTGCTGAATGAGGTAGGTCTCCATTACCTCATTCTACACAACCCTTTTACAGATTTTATCCAACAAAGCTTTTGAAGATATATTTATCTTTAACCATGTGAGAAGTCTCACTTACGTTAATGACTGTGCAACAATAAAACGTAAAAATAAAAATGATTACTAGTCCACTGATGATTATAAACTCTCTTCACTTCCCTTCCCCCTCATTTCATTAGGAACTCATTACTCCAATTTTTAAATCTAAGACCTCAAAGCTAAAGGCAGAGGTATAAGAGCAGCCACAATGTCAACGGGTGAGTGGATACAAGATCTTTACATATGCCGTGATCCACAGTATGAATGCCACACTGGGCAGCACTAGTTGGAGGTTTATAGCTCTGCTAGCTACCCAGTAAATCTGCACCAGGACAGCAGGGAAGGATCATGCAGCTTTGCAGCATAAAGCTGCATTAGAAGCTTTGAGAAACCATCATCCTCAATCTGCTGTTCCTCTCTTCCCCTGACCCTTTCTCAAAAACTCTCTTGTCACCTCTCGGGTTTACCCATTTCATTTTCTACTCCACTAGGTGCAGAAATCTCAGGATGTTTGTGGGGTTTGAGTCCCTGCAGGCAGCTGCAGGTTAATTCTATCTGTCTAGTTAGGACAATGTAACCTCCAGAATCCAGCATGAATGATCTGTGTGAAAGAGAAGGCGGGGGGACACACATATGAGGATTCAAGAATCCTTACAAGGAACTGGGTCCAAGAGAAGGATCAGGATAGTTTTCTGGAGATTTCTTTCAGAGTTACCTTCTGGCTCACAGCCCATACCAGAGGGAGAATGTTTTTGAACACTACAGAATGAGAGGAGAGCTAACAGCTACACCAGTCCTCACATCTCACAGGTCTCTCATGCTTGCTTACAGGTACCCTGCCTTATGCTAACAATTAACTCGATGTCAGGCGCTACCAGTCTGACCTCCCTGGGGTGCCCCATAGCTCAGGTCCTTGGAGAACAGAGCTGGTCCATGCAACTCCCAACCTCCAAACTCTGTTTCTGCCAGCCCCAAGAGCTCTTTGGTGCCCCATCTATCCCCATTTCCCTTGACAGAGCACCTACAGTCTAACTTCTCTCCTCTGGAGACCAGATCAGCATCCACTGCAGGAGCAAAGCCTTAAGTCAGCATATCGTAAAGAAACATTATAAACATTACCTTGACATTTTAGTGTACACAGTTAACATTTACATTTCACACCACCTCCTGTGTAAAGTCCCTCTTCTCCATGCCATCAACACACCACTTCTCTTAACCCCTCCTCATCCAACATGAAGAGCCCCTTTTCTCAGGCAGGCCAACAAAACAGAAGATTTTTTTTTAGTGCTTCTGAGCCCAGCTACCATGGAGACAGAAGTGGTCGAAAACCGGTTAAAAATACAAAAATTAAAAGCAGACAAAATTCCTCAACCTTCAGATCATTTAAAAGCCACCTGGGTCTTTCCCAAACACCCCAGAAATGCTTCAAGCTCACAATGAGAAGCTGCAGGCAATATTTCAGGGGCTAGTTTCAACAACCGCTATGAAGCATCTTTTGATGCTCCAGACACATCTTTCTAAGGGTTAATACACCAAAACAGGAAAGGGGCGGGGGGGGAAAGCACAAAAGCTGTATAACTTCCGTGGTATGACAAAGTCTCTCTGCATCATATTCCAAAGTGTGAGATGTGCAATTTCCATTCTTACGCTCAGTAAAAATGGCATAAAAAAAAAGTACTAACCCTGGGAACTGCTTGATTGTTAGTTTATCAGATCACCATCAGCAAAACTGTCTTTTTATGTGCTGCTTAGTTTCAAAAAAACCTACCATGCATATTTCAGTTCTCCCTCTCCACACCCCACACCCTTCTGCTGCTGTCCAGCTGGAACACATCAAGGGTCTAGAAGCCAAGTCAAATGTTGACCCCACCCTCCTCCATCCATTTTAAGGCACCTTCAAAGCCAGTACACTGATCTAGTTCAGCTTAGCCAACAACGCCAGCAAATCTGTTATTTAAGACTTTAGTGCTGGGTTTTTATAACTGCCCATTAATACAAGCTTTGATGTATGGTCAAAAAATCCAGCTGTAATTAGTTTCATCAGTAACCTTTCCTCAGAAGGTCTTTATTACTATACCTTCATAATCTTTGGTCCCAATACTGTTTTATAGTATCATTCTTACTGAACCGCCTTAAAAAACAACAGTCAGCAACACTTCACACATCTCCTTCCCCAAAATTAAAACAAAAAGCCATTAATAGTTTTCTAGAACACACTTTTGCATCCACACTTGTAACAGGATTTTGCTGTTAAGAGTATGCAGGCAATAGTTGGGTGAATCCAAAGAGATTTTCCTGATAAAACCCTTGAGACAGGATACAAAAGGATTTTGTAAAAGGACAAAGAACTTACTCTGTTGTTCCCCTTTGCAGGATGCAGCAAGGAGGAAAGAGGGGGAAAAAAAGAAATATTAGATACATTTATTTTACATGCACTCAGTCTAACTTGTACAGTTCTGGAAACAACTCGAACTAACTGAGGAACTGACTCAAAGAATGTTCACTGAATCCTTTAGTCAGACAGCTTCCAGGGGAGCACAGGACACTCGCAAAGGATTTAAAATGTTCAGCACAGTTGTAAATTCACACTGTTTTTCAGAATTTCCTCTCTACACAAACATTCTGATTCCACTTTTGCTTCCCCCAGTGTAAATCAAAGGCAGCTCCTGGGAAGTCGGTGGACATGAACAGAAGGGAGAAGAAAACGAGGCCTGAAATGATCTAGGGCTGGGACGGAAGCCAGAGGGATTTTTGTGCGTTGGGAAGACTGAACTTCCAGTACGCAAAGCAAGCCGCTAAACATGTCTGCTTACCCCTGCACGACAGCCACTCCCTACGATATGCCAGTGAAAGGAAAGTTTCATGATCCAATCCTTTTTATAAAGCAAATATTGAACTTTTAGATTAGTAATAAAAATAAGGAGGAGATGGCATTAGGGGAGAGGGGAAAAAGAATGGACAGTGCTAGCAAGGTAAAGCGTGCAGAGCAAGTTACGACAAACATCTGTGCTATTATTTTTTTTTGTAATTGTGAGTTTTGCCATGAGCTGGCACAAACAGTGTATATTATACAGTGGGGAGTCAGCCAAAATAAACACCAGCCTACAGTTGAGAAACAGTCTGGAAAGGTTAGTCACAAAGTTGTAGTCATTTTTGAAAAAAGGAGATTTTTGGATGCATCGGTCCAGAAACCCAGCAGTAAAGTCAGCTGGTAAATGGATATCCCGTTTCAAAGTGAATTGGCCACAGTGTGATTTATATCAAGGAAGCTGACTTACATATGGCTTGGAAAAATAAAAACACTGATTCATTGCTATCCGGGTGGCTGTCAAAGCCCACGTCCTGACAAAAGCAAATCTCCTGGGGGAAGGAGGTGACTTGGCACACTGCAAAAGAATTCGGGGGCTCTTAGAGCAACACCGAGGGCAGATTAAAGACAGTTAATGAGAGTGAATATATGAACGTGAGTGTGCATCCCCATGTGCAGATGGCCAGGGAAGGCAGGCAAAATGAAGCGAGGAAATGGAGGTATGGCGTGATACCTGGCCTCTCATTTTTAATATATTAACGAGATTTATTTAGGCCAAATGAAAAAATAAAAATCAACAACCTTGGGCTTATTTTACTGGGTTAAATTAGTAATAGAGACTTCATAATAGTGGCAATAAGTACAGAGCCCCATTACCACTGTAATCACACAATTTTAAGTAGCACTACTAAAAAACCAACAGAAAAAATAATATTCTTAGTTGAGAGATTTGCCCCCGGTGCGAATTCAGAACAAATCTTTTTAATTCAGTGACAAATTCCTACTCTTCTAGCCGCTGCAGAAGGAACTCAGCTAGGGGCAACTGCATTGGGTTTTGTATCAGCATCCTTGTACACGAGCAGCAGAACTGGTCATGAAAGCACACAGCTTAGCTTTCAAATTCCAGGCTGCGCACACGGCTCTGGCAGTTACAGAAAGCAGGCCAGCTTCACCACTGCAACACTCCAGGTTTACAGCACTATTAATCTATTTTTCATTTCTAAGCAGCAATTTTTCTCCTTCTGGTGCCAAAGCCTTGGATACTCAAAGTTACCAGCTGTGACTCTCATGTGAAAAAGAGCAAGAAGGTCAGTCTGGGAAGGGGCTAGGGTACCTGTTTGCCTTTTTAACTCCAGGATCACAAAGCTGTGGGGAAGCACTGAAGTAAACGCAAGTTGCTGCCATTTCCTGGCAGTCTCTCTTACATAAAAACACGGTCTCTAAACCATCGAAGGAGAATAAAAGACTGGTGGGAGGGGGGTGTCCTAAAACTATTTTATGTTGTCAGAGAAAGGTGTGAAACTAAGGAGCGTGCACAGGATTTTAATGAAACCCTGCTGATTTTTATTTAAGTTCCACTGCAGCTTCTGAGGTACCCTGGGCCTTGGAGCTTTTGCTTTGCAAAATTCAAAACTTGAACAGCAGACTTGCAGTCCACATTCAGACCTGTAGTCCTGTAGGAACAAAGCGTTTTGCAAGACTGGAGCAGCTCGATAGACTACTGGGTGAATTTCAGGCTACAGGGGTTTGGAACAATCATATTCACTCTTTTTGTAACATAAATATAACTCCAGCTCAAAGGAGAACTGAATTTTGACTCCCTTTTACTTTTGTCTTTCAAGGCAGTCTCTCATCTTGTGTCTAAGACTCCTTTGACAGACTAAGTGTAAACAAAGACAAGAATTCTTTATAAACATATTTTGAATACAAGATATTTTTAGGGGGAAGGGAAAGACAGGGAGACGGAGGAGATTTTTAGAAATCCAACTAGTCTGTCCTGTTTAAAGATAAAATACCAGATACATGAATACGATAAACATGTCACAGAATGCAAGATTAAACCAGAGGCAGCAACATGCTGTTTTGACATCATCATTAAAACCTAAGCAAGAAAAAAACCCAAGACACTATTTTGATCGTAGTAATTCATTAGGTAACCTCTCAAAACTAATCATTGTAAAATGACTTCTGATGGTCTTAGGTAAGAACTGATCTGCTGGGACAGGCAACATACTGAAGAGTCATCAAAAAAAATTATTTTAAAAAGAAAGGTAACGACCCAGATACCCGGTAAGTCTCCTGCTAAATTCCTATTTGACCCATTTTAAAAAATCATCATCATCATCACTGTTTATTCCTAAAATAACTGGAGAATCCAGAAGTTCAAGGATTCTCTGATTTATCTTTTGATGGTAGCCTTGGAACTTGGTATGAAGAGAGGATGCTGAGGGTTGTTTGTATGCATAAATAGCAGCCAGAGGAGATGCAGACAGAATCATACTGGAGGCCATGGAGGTATCACAGGTATAAGTGAAATATGAGGAAGAGAAAGCTGAAGAAGACAGAATATAGCACGAGACCCTGGACTCAAGGGATGTGGCCTTCCCACAGAAAATAAGTAGGAAGAACAACAAATTCCATCAAAATCAAAGCATCATTTCTCAAAACAGATCTTCCACTGCAGGAATCTAGCAGACCAGCTAGATTCTTCTTCTTACTGAAGAAAAGGTGAACCATGCATCAGAGAAACTTTCAAAAGCTCAAATTACAGGTATTTTTGCTAGAGCTAGCCTTCTTTCTGGATCCACCTCCTCAAACCTTCATTTGACATTAAATATCAAAATAACAATGTCCAAAAAATATGAAATGGTAGTTGGGCATACTCCATTCCCTGACTTTGTCTTTGCTGCTCAATTAACAGAGGCTTTTTTACTGTATCCTGTTCAATTTGCTTCACATGATGATTAGCTGAGTAAAACTGCCTTTGGAAAGGTTTAGCATGTTTCATACACAAAAAACATGCAGTGAATCAGTAAAATAAATATACGCAATTGCCTGGAATGCTTCTGCCAGTTCTGTAATACAGAGCGTGAGGGAATAAAAACTCTTCAACGCACATCTTTACCTTAGAAGACATTAAAAGAAGCAATGAAGCTCAGGAAACCCCAAATTGCTCAACGCTTTTACTACACCGATCCAATGAAAAAAAATTTGGAAGATTTAGTTTGTGGTTTCTTTTTTTTTTAATATTGAGGTTTGATGCATACATTGATCTTAAAATATTTCATTATGAATATTTCAAAATCACCACAGAAGAGTACAACGAAAAGGCTGCCATCTCTTGAGATATCTGCAGACACTGTGTTTTCCCAGATTTCCCAGATGACATGATTGTTTTTTCGGTCTCAAACAGAGCGGCTACTGGAAAACTAGTGAGCTGTTTAACTTACTGAGGATTTATCAGGATAGACACCGGCTCGCAGCAGAGATGCCTTCCAGCTATCCACCTCCTCTTGGGAGTCACAGGCTAGCTCAAGGAAACGGTAATCCTTGTAAACGTTCCTAGAACAAAGAGCACCACATTGTAAAACTAGCATTTTACTACTCTGTATCATGCACACAGCACTTTAAATTAAAAATCTTTTGGCATCAGAAATTGCTTGGTAATTGTTTTGGACAACAGAGTTTATGGGACAGGTGCTTGCTTAATAATTACATGGAGTACTTAAAAATATCTTCGAATGCTACAGTGCAGCTCTGGAAATAATAATCATCTGAAAGCACCGTGAAACTACTTAGAAGTAGTTTTCCAGCTTTTGCCAAAGTAGGGCACTTCTAGGAAAAAAGGCTGTTTCGATGTGGAGGACAAACACATAAGACACACCAACAAAACTGCATGTCTTGGGACTGATTGCGGCTGTAACCAATAAATAGCAAAATAATTAACGATGCAACTTTCTCCCATGTTAAGTACTTTCAGTGCATTACATACCCTTTTCAGCTTTTAGACATCATCAGTAAAAGGGGAAAGAAAATAACAATAACCAGATCTTTTAAAAAAACGAAACAAACTTTTGATGTCTGCCATCATAGTAAGAAAACTGGGACACGTTTAAATAACACCTCTTGCAGGTAATTCATGTAATTAGATAAATATAAGGAGACATTTAATAGAAGAAAAGAGAAAGGAGGAAAAATACATAATATGTAGGAAGGTGGTACTTGTAAATTCTCCAATAAACAGAACAGATTTTCCCCTTACGGTTTAGCCATTAGTTTCCGAATTCAAATTCTATATACAGACCAGATTGCTGTAAATTCGTCAGCCAACAGTCTTTTTAGGAAAGGCCACAAGCTTAGCTGAGAAAGGTTAGGAAACCAGATTTTGCTAGATCTTAACAGTCGCACAAGATTCAGTCTTCCATCGCAACCAGACTGTTTTCTTTCCTTAGCAAGTGATGGAGAAGGGGGAGTGGGGTGGAGAGGAGGGCTGGTGGAGGTTACTTCATTTTCAAAGACAGAGACAAAGGGTCCTTTGGTTTCATTATGCAACTACAGAGGTCATTTCTACACCATATTTTGAGAAAAATCAAGTTGAATACACTACAGAACCAGGAAATAAAGCTATTTTATCACTACCTAGACAAATTTCTTTAGCGCTCAGGGACTGCTGGGATTTCACCGTCACGCTGCCAGAACACAACTGACTTGATGTGATTCCCACTCACAGAAGTGCTTCTCCCTCACCAACAATGTCACCAGACAGCTCCTATCCCTGTCTTCTGGGGCAGTCTCAGGAAACAGATGGGTAGAAAAATTTTTTATTGAACAGTAAGTGTTTGTGCCTGATCATTAAGAAGCCATGACACGTAATCATTAGATTATCAGCTGTGAAACCACAGTAGGGCAATCTCAGCATACTCACCTCTGAATAGAGGGAAATCGGGTATTTTTAGCAAGCTTATGGATGGCATTCAAAACTGCAAAGAATAAAGGATGTACTCAGATTTCCTTATGTCAGTGGCATAATTCTCACCAATTTCAATGGCTACGTCTGGGCAGCCAGGCGTGTGTGCTCAGCACCGGGCTTGCACTGCTGCTCGAGCGTCCGGATCGGAGATGCCACCGGAGCATGCTTCAGTGCTGCTCAGGACAGCAGACTGCTCTCCCTTCCCAGAGAAACCAGCCCGCAAAGCCACAAAGAGACACACTCAAGGGACAAAGAGACACACTCAAGGGACAGATCCCACAGTTTAGGCAAAGTCACTGACAGTATAAATGACTGAAAGCTCTATGGATTTTTTTTATTGATTAGAAATGTAAAATTAAACCTTTTTCTGACCTGACTCCAAATGTACTAACCCTGCCTCACGGCAAACAATAGCCTGGATGATGTCCTCAGATGCCGTTATCTAGAACTGATGACAAAACACTTGAATTTTATTCAATTTGCAATATTGTGGAACTCCAAGTCAACAGTTACTGAACAAAATAAAGAACTCAATAAAACTAAAAAGAGAAGAAAAATGAAATCCCCAGAGGAAAAAAAATGCTTTAATTTATTGCTAGGAGAAATTTCTACTGAGATAAGTTTTTTGGCTAAGTTAACTAAGCAGCTATAACTCTGAAGAAATAGGAAACTGAAATGGTAAAAGGGTACTCTCAGAAAAGATGACTAAAAACAACAATAGAGCAAATAAAGGCTGTAAAACACAGCGATAGGGAAGTTCCAAAAATACTTATCTGCAAGAGCAAAACAACATGACACCAGCTTGTGAAAATATTTTTTCAAAACTGTCATGTTATATATTAAACTTTTTGGCATTTTGTGACTTGCTACATCAAGCGTAGCTGTACGAGAGGGATTTTAGCCAACCGCTTTGAACACATGGGAGCTGGCAGTCCTGCATTCCTGTCTCCATATCAAGACTTTGCCAAGGTCTAGGGACATCTTATGACCAAGCTACCGATGTTTCCAGTTGTCCAAGGTCCCTCTCACTGCAGTATCTGAGAGCTCCACCATTTTAGCGTAGCTAATCCACCCCACCACCACCACCACCACAAAGGAGCGCAGGTTTCAGCTTCTCAGCATAAGTGAGGAACCGAAGGATACGTGCACTGAGCCAGAACTCACGGGAAGCTTACAGTACGGCAGGTAAATGGATGCTTGCCTCCCAAAGCAGCTTCTTTGCTACTAAACTCCCTTTGCCTTTCTCTCTTCCAGAAAGGCTGACAGGCACAGGAACTTTTCAAAGGAAATAAAAAGAAAAGCAACCTCTGAAAAGAGTGTGTTCTTTTTCTGTTACTAGTGGAATCCTACAAAAACACATTAACATGTTTTACTCATTAGGAATCCACTGGCGTCTCATGGAAAGCTGTAAAAATGTTCTTGAAAACAATTCAGATTTTCTGGTTTATCCTCTCTTCTACTTTTTTAAATTGCTGAAGATATCAGTACAGAAACAGTTACTACTCAGTCCTCACCTACTTACTCCGTATGGAATACCACGAGGTCATGTTCTCATTGTCATCTCTCTAGCAGCTAAATGGGACATTATACATCAAAGAAAATTATATAATACAGGACACCAAGAAGCAAAAAAGATGATCTCTCAACAGTACAAATCTTGGTATTCAGACATCTTTAAATCTAAGGGACTGTAGAAACAAAACAGATACAATAAATGGGAACATTTCTCTTGAATATTTAACATTTTTTAAATGTCACTACACAAACGGGGAAACTGTGTACAAAAATATATGCATATACCACATCTACCCATGCTGCTTCCTCCTAGAGAGACTCATTATTGTAATTTAATATCCTGCATAGTACATGAAAATGTATCTATAGGGGCACTACTGGAAATTAACACAATACTACTTTTTTTCCAGAGTGAAAAACACAGAAGGTTACCATTTGTTATCTGCAGGTTTTATTATACTCTAGATACATAAACCTTAAGAACTATATTCCATAAAAACACACCACCATTGCTTATGGAGATGGAAGTACAACTGGACTAAAAGCATCATAAAAGGACCATTACTTGAAAGTCTAGCACACACCCAGCTGTAACTTTGCTTACCCAACAACTTCTTCACTTTATTACCACCTTTGTTTCTAGCATACTGGATTCCTTTTCCCCATATATTTCAGGGCCCAAAGTGAACTTTCTAATGCAGAAATTACCTTTACATTGACCAAAGGTATTTCTTTAAACCCTCCCATCACAGAAGAATCCTAACATGAAAATGCAGGAATGGAGTAAGGTATTTGGAAGTGTGCAAGAGGAAATGGAGAAGTGCCAAGTAAGTTTGAAGACAGCCCAGCTGAGAGTTACCAAGATTGCTGTCCCAGCCTGGACTGTCGACATTGCATAGGGAAGGTCTGATCGCCTGTAAAACAGCAGAGCTACACAATCCAGAACCAACGGGTGAATTACACACAACTGAAAATCTCAAAGAAAGAACTTCCTAATTGCCTGCTAGAGTGGAGGCAATACCAGTATGTTTCCCTCTAGAGCAGTTGCACATCAAAACTGCTTGCTGTCTGAGCAGACTCAGCTGCTAGACCTCAAGGGGTATAGTATCTCTTGCAATTTCTTAATACCAAGATAAGGTTAAATGTTTATCTCCAACAAACCTGGCAAGATTTTAAGGGAAACCACTGTAGACATTACAAATTTACTTTATATACCTGCATATATATTAACGCGTATCCACATATTATCCATATGCATAGACAGCTTTTAGACTGAGTTGGATTTGGAACATATCAGTAGACAAAGATGTACTGCATGTGCGTGTAATTTTTTTCACATAGAGAGAAAATACAAACCAAAATTACATGAAGATGCATTTATCCTTGTCAATAAGGGAGGAGACAGAATAGCAATTACAGAGCAAGAATATTAGTGAAGTTTTTAGAATTGTGCCTATAAGCCACTTTAATGCTCCAAACAACACAAAGCCACATATAACTTAAGCAGTTGCACTGAAACAAGTGACGCTACTCACAGATTGAAAGATAAAGGAATATCTTCTTTTACAAGGATTTCAGACAACTGTATCATCTCAAACGATTTTTCGGTAAAGCAGAATTAAAATGAACATTAAAAATCTGGAACCAAATGCAAATCGGCCCAATTTAATTCCACGAAAAGCACAAAAGATCAAATTCTTTGCTATTTCTTATTTGACTGAAAATGAAATCATACAGAATATGGGTTTCATAAATAGTGACCTAAAATGAAAAAGAGGGAAAATAACAGAATCCAGATATTCCAAATATACATGCTCAGTTGAGAAAGATAATCTTGGATGAAGCTGTACTGTATGTTCTCTACTTATTCCACCTGCAACTCCACTGGATACACTCTGCTTATTCAATCTTAGTCTACCATTTTAGATACCTGTAATTCCTCAATGGCTGGTTTGAATATATGCACTGTTTTTCATATAAGAAAGCTCTGCTAGAAGCTCCGTAAATGATACATTATAAAGGAACCAAAATGACCATCTGCTCTGAGTTAACAGCAAATGACTAACATTTTCTATCA